GGTGGTCGAAACAGCAGCTGCACGAGTCATGACTCTTCTTCCAATTACCTTGAACTTCACAATGAGTGTTTCTTTGTAGCAACTTGACGTTTTGCAAGCAAGTTTTTTGCGAACACTTTCTTCATTGAAGTTTGCCGCAGTTTTTATTTTTTATACAAAATTTATGGAAATTGATTTAGATGTCAAATAAAGCTCCAGAAACTCTTGGGCTACAAGTTGCAGGTAGTTTGATGCCATCAACCATTACATTTGCTTCAAGGAAATATTCATAAGTCTATGTTGAAGGGATCGATAAACGTCTTTTGAAAGAAAAATTTTTAACTTTAAGTCACTTGTTGTCCAGGCTGTCCAGATAAGGAGTCATAACTTCAGTTAAAATTTTGATGTTGGGCCACATCTTATGAGGGTCATATCTTCTGCATAAGTATTTGCTATGATGTTACCATTGTTATGTATATGCATTTTGGACACGAAGTTAAATGGGACCGGCGATAACACCATCTTGTTACACCTTCCCGTTTTTGATTTGGTAATTCTGATTTCTATACAAGTGTGCCTTCCCCTAACGTAAGCGAGTAACCACTTTTCTGGATTTTAGATAGGTTCGATTTTCCGATATTGCTGAGTAGATGGTAAAGATCAACAATATCAAAGGCTGCAATCATGTCTAGGGTGAATATTAGTGTTGTTTGGCACAGATTAGCATTGTCCAAACCAGCTTGTAAGTAGAATATGACGCAGTTTAGGGCAAATGTTGTCGATCTTTTTTCTGTGAAATTGTGCATGTGTTATTAAAAGTTATTAAATAAACTCAGGTAGTAAAAAAAAACGCAATACGGGGTTAGCTACCGGAGAGAGCAATGCCATTCGTCGTTAGCTCTTATTCTGTTCACGCACTTTTTCCAGTGAGGTTTTATAGGCGTATAAAGTTTCAACTTTTCAGGTATAATAGCAAGACTTACTGAGAGGTTTAATAGTTTGCTTGGGTAGTTGACGGATTATTTATCAATAAACTGTAAATGATCTGGGCAATGTCATCAATTCTAAGGCTTGAATTCTTACTGACTTAATTGCATCATGGACTTTCGTTCAATTCAAGTTAGTTGATTGTATCATTGTCCCTTTCGTCTTCTTTGCTGTTGTATGCGTCTAATATGAACAGTTGGTTGAAATTATTGCATATAATTTGTTTGTTATGCTTACTGACAGAGTGCATGGTTGTGATGTGTTTTTCTGAAAACCGCCGATGGTTCTGGATAGTATGTTGTTTACTGTTGACCAGATATTAACTGTTGCCCCTCGATAGTCGACACTTCTAAGAAACGTGATCCATGTTGATCTTTAGTTATCTTCAGCTAGTTAAAAAAAATTTCCTGTAAATTCACTTATTTGGGGGGACTACGGTATATTATTGCTAGAGTCTGCTTATTTTGAGTAGTAACAGCTTTTGTCGGAAAGTTCTGCATCGCCTCTTTCATGCAACCTTGAGGTTAGTAACTAAAGGCCACGCAGCAAATTTTTTTTCGGACAATTTTCTCGCCTTCAATGGCTGATTAAGGCAAAGCTAATTTGCGGATAGCTTCTTAACTCTCACCCCAAAAGCTTTACGAGTCTGCTTTTTTAAAGTCAAAGTAGGTTTTCTTTGTAGCATGTATTAACTTCGCAGGCAAATTATAGGGTGATAGCTGAATGATATGACCCAAGTATATTTTCACAGCTAATCAGTGGACATTGCTTAACTTGATGTATCTACTTTTGCGTGTGGGTTTGTTTTCACCGAGTACAACAAAAACAGATGCGTCATTTTTTTCTCAGGCTGAAATCCACCGACGTCAAGCTCTAGTTCGGGTGATAAAGCAACAAATGCGTTGAAATCATCGAAAACTAGTGCTTGTTAGCAGATTTTGAAGTGAGACGGAGTAACCGATACTATAACTGAAATAAATGTAACGGGATGTAGGTGTGATATCTTGTTAGACTGGGGTGTTGTTATTTCAACTGCTTTTTGCTCTATGTGAAGGTCCTTTTCTGTAAGATGAACTGCCGGTTTACTGATTTCAATCTTGATAATGAATACAAGTCCGCCTCCTTTGCTGCAATTATTGGTCTACTTTTTCCGACGAATTGGTATCCAAAAGATAGGAAATTGTATCGCTCCATTTTCTGTGTCAGTTGTTCGCTTGTAATGGAATATATTGTCTAGTTTAGGTGTGAGACAGTTAGCGTTGAGTTGAAGAACTGAGAATTGGTTTTGGCGGTAGTTGTTGTTAATGAATGGTTAGGGGTGGTTGTTGTTTGTTGAGGCTATCAGTGGGATTTATTTTGAAGTAGTCACAAGGACCACTGATTTGCGTTTTTAAGAGTGGAGCATTTTAGGTGTATCCATCCAAAGAAATGGCTCCCGAGCAAACTTTCTTTGACATATTGGTTCAGGGCGAACTTTCTGTGACGTGTGCTACTGTTAGTTGGTCCTGGGTTTTGTTCAATTGATCTTCCGAACAGAGAGTGAGAACTAAAGCTCGAGCCAGTAACAAGAAAATGAGAAGGTAGAATGGTACTGATTGCTCGCTTAATAAAAACACATGTCTTGTTTCGTCTCTTTGTTTTCTAGTCTTCTCTCCTGTTTTCTCGTCTTCAGGTCTCTTTTAGGTTCTCGACACGAAACGGATGTATGGTGAATAGAATTTGGGTAACTTCTGATTGGGGGATGTATGCATGGTCCAGCCGCTTAGAGGCACCCAATCTTAGAACCAGTGCAAGCTAAGTGTATTACACTCCGTAGTGCAGAGTATTTTATTTTTACCTGTATGCGATTGTACTCTGTCATGAGGTCTATGAACTTCCTGGACCAGGTGGCCTGCTGGATCTTCCTCAGTCGGATCTCCACAGTGAGTTGATGGTTACTCGCCTCCTCCATCTTTTCCGTCTCTGTCTCCATCTCTACAACAGAAACACACAAACATTCACTTGACATATTACACACATCAGGTCCCAGTTATACAGCACATACACTACACACAGCAGACATATTAGATAAATATGTAGTAGCAGTAATAGTTTCACTCTGCTGGAACGGGTAGGACCAATGAGCACAATTTTAAAAAACTAGCGTTTGACCAATAACAAGAAAATTATCCAAACTACAACTGCTCACATATATAATGGCAACTTGCCCATTACAGCAGAAAACTCAACAGCGTATTGATCAACATTGGAGACAATTCTACTGTAATCCTCGAATTTTACTATCTCATAGTTACCGGCAGCTCAGTCAGTTTCACACCATTTATGATAAGTTGAAAGCCTGAGTAGTACTAACTTTTCAAACTGGACCTGACATTTGAGGCTTCTGTTCTGATTTCTGCATTTAGATTCTCCACCTCGTTCTTGTCCTCTGAAATCACGTGATCATAAATTGAATAATCATTTTTACAAAAACTTTTACAAAAATCATTTTTACAAGAACGGTTTTCAAGAACCATCATCACCCATATCAGTGTCAGAGAATAATTGAATGGGTAGAAAGAACAAGCGGTGCTAACTATCGGCTGGTTTTTCCTCTGCCAGCATCCTTTGATGTACAGCTCCCAGCTTGCCCGCATTCTCCTCAATCACTCCAATGCTCGCTTTCAATCTCTCAATCTGAACAAATTACTACTATTTCAAACTCTACATTCCCATTTAAAGATACTACTAGTAGATAGACAGCCCACAACAATTCGGCCAAAAAAACAGATTCAGTCACATACAATGCATCCAGTTTTCTAATTCCCAAACTATAAAATCGAAAGAGTAATTAGTAGTTTTTAACATTGTATTGGCAAGTAGCGAACTCTTGCTCCGCTGCGCTTATATTCGGCACGACCAATAAAAAGGTGGTTATTCAGTTTTGACGATTTAACTTTAAAATCAACAATAACTTCAACAAATGATCCAATTTGAATTTTGTCTACATTGTGTCTGCGTAATTTTGGCTGAAGGTCTGCGCTTCAATTTGTCTGAATTGCCTTTGGCCAAATTTTCTTAGCTCTAGGGCATCAGAAGAGCGGACTTTTTTTAAGTACATATGACAGATCAAACCTAATATTTGTACAGCAATTGATGCAAAGTGTACACATGTTGTGAAATGAGAGATACTTCATCTTAACTCACCTCTGCGAAGAACTCCTTCATGAACTGTCCTTCCTCTGCCTGTCCTTCATCGCCCCCTCCTCCGTCTCCCTTCTTATTCTTGCCCTGTGCACCTAATGCACGAAAGAAAGAACTAATTTCTCCAACCCATTATTCACACGGAGGCGAAGTTGTACTTCGCATACACAAGCAAAAATATGACGGATAACGCTACTGGAAAAAACAGAATGAGTCTACAAAATTTCTAAAGTGACGCACGCCCATTATGACGCATTAGCAGTACCAGTCAATTTGAAAAAAAAAAGATATTTACCATCTTACATGCCTCAATTTAACTTACATGCATCAACGCATTTCAACTTCTATACGAAAAAGTTCAACTACTATATTAAAAACATCCAACTCTGCCCAGGTTCGAACCCTCTTATTTTGTTGCGGGTCTCCTTCCCTATCTCTACGCTACAGATTCATGAAACCTTGAAGTTTAAGTGTTATTTATAATATAAAAGTTTAGCTGTGTTAATATCCTTGGCATTGGCTACTTCATAGCTGGTTATTGATCAAAATGAAAACTTTCAAAATCACACAAGCTTTGCTTGTGTACAAAATGAACACTAATATTTGCGACTTAGGTTGGAAAAAAAAAGAGTTCATACTATCACACACGCTTTGCTTGTGTAAATACGATTATGTAGCATCAGATTCAGAGACTAGGAGAGGACAGACAACGGGATCCTGGGATCCACCAAGCATCTGCCCTAATATGGTCATAAATTAAGTTGAAAGTAAACATTAAATTTTAAAAATGAATTAACAAAAATTACAATAATGTAGAAAAAAACAGACTGCACCTCCGCCAGCCCCCTTCTTGCTTTTCTTCCTGTCCTGTTTGTGCTTCCCTGCTCCATACTTGTCATACTCATCCTGGTCCCTCCTGCCCCCCTCTTCAAACTCATCGTCCGAGTGGTCATCATGGCCACCAGCCTAGAACAACATCTCATCGTAATCTGAAACTGGAGCCCTAAAGCTCAAAAAAAATAACTACACTTCCAAAACCGGTTATACTAACCCGTATAAACAGCCAAATATAAAATCATCCTAAAAATAAGGTTTTAGAGTTGATTAAAGCGAATAAAGTTTTGTTACACTTAAAATGTTTTGAACCGACGTACTCTTCACTGCAACCTATCTTCTATTGAATAAAAAACAGACACTTTCAAAAAATAAAATTGCGGATTCTTTTAACCACCCAAGCAATTGTGTTGTTTCGGAATCAAAGTCACCTATTCACGAAAAAGCGCTTTGCATAGGCGGGTGCAAAAAAAGTTTTATTTGCTTATTCAAGCAGGCGAAATCTGATGGTTCTTTACTTTGGCTCTGTTCCACCACCCCCTCGTCACACTCACACAATCACGCACACATTTCAAAATTTCCACTTCTAAAACATGCTAATATGGCTGAATGCGTATATTTCGCTGTAAAGCATGAAGAACAAAAAAAGTTCAGAGTAGTTGATTAATTCACCATGCAAAGTTATCTTTAAGTCTGTTTTACAACATGACCTTGAGATGTTTGAGCAAAAAAAACTAGTATCGGTTCAAACATAGCCAACAGACAACTGGAAAAGAGTCAATGAACGCAAGGAAACATAAAATAAAAAAAGACTAGCGTGTAACGCACCTCCGGTGCTTCTAATTTTTGAGAACTCATAAAAAACCTCTTATATTGAGAACTCACATCATATTGAAAACTCACATTTTGAGAACTCACATAAAAACCGCAAAAAAACTGAAAAACCATAAAAACGTCACATCTGGAAAGTTAAAAGTCCTGAGCAGTTATATGTGGCCGCGAGATTCGCGAAACCCTCGAGTAAACTGGCAGCCTCTAACTAAAGAATTGGAAATTTCAAAAATTGAAAAAAATTAAATTTAAGTTTTCTGAAATTTTTTTGAAAGAATTGCAAAAAATGTCATATCGCAAAAACTACGAAGAATTGAGCAGTCGTTATTGGAGGCAAATTAGCAAGCTCTTAAAACATTCTGACAGTCCCCTCTCCTCATTACAAGAAGAGGGCTTCAAAATTCAAATGAAATTTGAAAAAAATATATACTAAATTTGCGTTTGCTGAAAATTTTTGAAAAAATCACTGAAAACGTCATATTTCAAAAACTACAAAGATTTGAGTAGTCATTTTTGGAGGCAAATTCGCAATCCTTGAGAGTAATCTGACAGCAATTACTACAGGGCTGGAAAATTCAAGTTTTTGTATATATTTTATAAGTTGAGTTTTCTGAAAAAACTTCGAAAAAATCGTCTTTTCTCTAAAAGGATTTGGACATTCTTAATTGGATACCCAACCCCTGGAGAAACTCTGACAGCATCCCAATTTTGTGCTGCTAACTTTTAGCTCAGTGGAACAAACATTCGATTCCCTGGAAAATCGAAAACAAATTCTTACGCATTGCAATATACGATATAGCTTAGCCAAGCTTACATACGTTATGCTCTTAACTGTTGCCAAAAAACGCTTAAACATGGCAAGGTACGTGTCACGCGCATTTAAATATAGTATAGATAGATATGTCTTTACAGCTCTTTGAATTTCAAGAAAATATTATGATTGATACTCTATAGACAAAAATAATTCAAAATGAGAAAACTGGATCAATAGGTAAAATTTTTATTGCGCTGAAAATCTGAAAACTAAACTCCACTATCGAATCTAGAATTCGATCACATTTTAGCGACCTTTGCACTTTCGTAATTAGAGAGCTTATCTTATCTCATATTTGGCAAATCAAATTGAATTAAACTCGAATAGTGCACATAAATTTAAATACATTCCTATATGCATTAATATGTATGATTGCACTTCTGTAAAATATAAGAGCATTTGAAGACATTTGCGGAAAACCGAAATAAAAAAACGGAAACAAATCCTCAAGACCTATTAAAGTCTGAATTACGTTAATCGATTCCTAACAACAATTTCTTATCGTAAGCAAATCCATACGCAACAGTCAGTTTGATAACCAGGGAATGCGAAAAAAACTCCTATTGGAGCCAAGGAAATCAAAATGGCTGACTTTTCATTTGACAAAAATTTATGTAAACTGAAGCAATTGGGGAGCTTTAAGCTGGTCTACTGAAACATTGAACACTTAATTAGACCATAAAATTCGACATAGATCTCTACTGATTTAAATACAATAAAAAACCAAAGACATTCCTAATCAAAATACAAACCTGATTCCTTCAACTGGAAACAATTCCATTCATAAATTTGAAATTAGTAGACATTTAGCCATTCATAACTTTTCTCCTGAGTCGGCTTCCCCATCAACTCACATTAGCATCAGTTTTATAGTGTAACAAATTTTACAAGGATAAGTATGACGACCAATTATGTTTCTTATGTCCTAATTATTTGGCATGTAGTTTGATAAAATCGAACAATTTGAACCAATTACGTGCAAACTCGCAAAGGCTGCGGAAAAAGGCTCCTAAATCTTACTATTTAACTTTAATTGCATATTCAAGCTAACTGATCCGTATGCTTATGATTTCCGAGTGCTTATGATTTGCACTTTTTCTTTACATTATCCAATTCAGAGAAGTGCTTATGATTTGCACTTTTTCTTTACACTATCCAATTCAGAGAAGTGCTTATGATTTGCACTTTTTCTTTACACTTTCCAATTCAGAGAAGTGCTTATGATTTGCACTTTTTCTTTACATTATCCAATTCAGAGAAGTGCTTATGATTTGCACTTTTTCTTTTCACTATCCAATTCAGAGAAGTGCTTATGATTTGCACTTTTTCTTTACATTATCCAATTCAGAGAAGTGCTTATGATTTGCACTTTTTCTTTACACTATCCAATTCAGAGAAGTGCTTATGATTTGCACTTTTTCTTTACACTATCCAATTCAGAGAAGTGCTTATGATTTGCACTTTTTCTTAACATTATCCAATTCAGAGAAGTGCTTATGATTTGCACTTTTTCTTTTCACTATCCAATTCAGAGAAGTGCTTATGATTTGCACTTTTTCTTTACACTATCCAATTCAGAGAAGTGCTTATGATTTGCACTTTTTCTTTACACTATCCAATTCAGAGAAGTGCTTATGATTTGCACTTTTTCTTTACATTATCCAATTCAGAGAAGTGCTTATGATTTGCACTTTTTCTTTTCACTATCCAATTCAGAGAAGTGCTTATGATTTGCACTTTTTCTTTACATTATCCAATTCAGAGAAGTGCTTATGATTTGCACTTTTTCTTTACACTATCCAATTCAGAGAAGTGCTTATGATTTGCACTTTTTCTTTACATTATCCAATTCAGAGAAGTGCTTATGATTTGCACTTTTTCTTTACATTATGCAATTCAGAGAAAACTTCAACACTAGGTAATTTTTAATCCCTCGCGAATTCTGAAAATTAAAATCCACTTTTGAAACTAGAAGACAATCACGTTTTGACCTTACCATTTTCGCAGATCGAGCGTGGATTTTTCCCTCCCTTCTAACAAAGAAATGAACTGAACTAAAGGATTAATCATGATTCAAACCGCAAAAATCAAACTTGAGCGTAAACTTTTCCTAAATAAAATCTAGACCAAGATGATTGAAAACATGTAAAATTCTTTACCGATTAATTACTAGCAAGTGACACCAGTGAACCAAAAGCATAATGGTCAATTTCAAAGATACCCACAAAAGCTGCACTTTGCAGAAATAAGCAAGAAAATCACAAGAAATAGCTCTAAAAATGTAAAATAAGGAAAGAAAGAAAAAGTAAAAAAAAACAAGCCTCGAAAAATAAAGCTTTTGCAATATGCCGGAATCCATCTTCGTACTTAGAGATAAGAAGCCTCACGTTTTCGCATAAACGGCACGACTGCGCAAAAATATTAACACTAGATGCCAATAAAAAAGCTAGAGTTGCTATTGAATTGCGTATGTTATGCAGCAAAAAGGCCACGTGCCGGATTTGATTTCCAACTTGTAGATTACAAGTCCCACATCCTCGAATCTGCCCCACCGTTGCTTGGAAAAAACACTAAGACTAACCACGAACAAAGCAGCTACCGATGCTATCAAATTGCCAATGCTTGGAAACATAAAAGAATAAAGAAATAACGGAACTTTATCTCTGCGAGTCTTTCATCGCTCTGTTATTTTAAAGCTGTATTTGAGTACATTATTCTGAGTGAAAATGTTAACATTAACTTAAATGGCTAATAGCACCAAGTGCAGTTTATCTGCGCTGTAACTGCCACGTACACTCTGGGTTTTCTTATGATAGAATAACTTGGTTATTGAGTTTTTGGATGAAACTCAAAATTTCGAATTACGGCAAAATTGCTTATCAGACAATTTCATAGTAATAAGTTGCTTCTGCTATTTTTACACAAATTTGGTGATAAAAAGTATGGAAATGTGGCAAAAAAAATAATTATTTTTCTCTTTTCAGACAATTTCCCTTAGTCGATGAAATTGTATGATAATCTTTTTTTTTTCATAGTATGAAATTGTATGACAAGCATTTTTTGTCATCCCGGGATCTAACTAATCTCCTTGTTTTTATTATTCACACTTGTTTTTATTGTTGTTAAGGCCTTGCAAACTTATGCTTCCTAAAACAGTTGCTTCAGAGCTCAGCTATTGCAACCCAGTTATTTTTAAATTTACTGATGCTAAGAATAAGACGAGAACTAGTAGTTTTGGATTAAGGAGTTTCTCAAAACTATGCAGCCCACGATAGACTGTTTTCTCTTATTTAAAAAAGAAACTGATGCGACTAGCAAGGGTGTTGGGCTCTTTTTCCTCCTCTTTCCTCCTCCTCCCTCCCTCCCTCCCTCCCCCCCCCCCCCTCCCTCCCCATCTATCTCACTCGAACATGAATTTTATGGTCTAACGAGTGGTTTTACAAGGTTAATTATGAAGAACAAATATGTTTGTCATGGTCTAATTAGTCTGTATGTCAATTTTCATGTTAATCGGACAAAGTGAAATGCAATTTCAAATATAAAAATTTGCAGGTGGGGGAAAGGAAAAAAGAGCCGGATGTTGCAACCTAGGTACTAAGTGTTTAGAAGTATATAACAGACGATCAAGTACAAAATCACAGGCTCAAATTGTTCATCAACAACAAATTTATAAGAGTTCATCTCAAAACAAACTGAAACAGACGTTTGGGTCGTTTTCGAGTTTTAGGTCTATCAATTTTTCTATACGAAAAATTTTCATAAACATTAATTGAGACCATTTGATTGCAATTGCAGCAAAGAAGAATAAACAAAGTTGGAAAACGCCAATGTCGAAAAAAAAACTTAAGAAAAATTGGAGCTTTTTCCTTTGCCCCCTGTTTTACGTGGTCATAATGTGATGAAATTTTGCATGGTGAACAAACTAACTATTGTGAACACATTTGTTCTTCATAACTTACTTCGCTACATCACGCGCTCAGCCATAATAACACGCCAGACAATTGAATGGAGAACTTGAAATGTGAGGGGGGGGGGGGGTGGGAGGTGAGTGGAAAAGAGCCAAAAACGGTGCGCAAGTGAGGTGGGTGGGGAAAGGAAAAAATTAAAGCCACCGTCCATCACAATATCAGGCCACTAAGTTGTAATCTAAGCCTAAACATTTTTTGAACCATATTTAAAAAATTAAAGTATCCATTTAACAAACAATCTGCCCTTCAAAAAAGGGAGGGAGCTTGTGAAATATGTTAAATCAGCGACTTTTCGACCAATCAGAAAGCAGCAAAAAAAGAAATCTCAATAAAAAGCTGTAGTGCTATTTACTGCTTTTATAGGGGTGGAAACTTTTTAGTAGATACCATAGAGTTAGGTTGTTGAGTAGATCTAAAAAAACGGGTATTTAAAACGCTGATATGCTCAAACTGGGTGGTAATCTGGTAAAGAGCCGCATAATTAGCATGAAGCTGGAAGTTTTGCAATGTGGGTGGGAAGTGGAAAAGAGTCCACCACTCCTTCAGATTGCATTGATTGAACACTTACTCCTTTCAACTCTGCTAATCTGTCTTTCATTGGTCGGCAACGTCAACAACAGCGACACCTTCTCGAACTCCCACAGAGTTATATCACCCCTTAGTTTTATTCGCCAATTCTGCTCCTCAAACATTTATCGTCGCTCATAGGGTGCGATTGTAATGACGTTACGATTATAACCAATTGTCTCAAAGTATGAATAAATCAGTACTGCAAGCTATGAAGTTTGCACGTGTCAATTTGAGAGAATGGCTCTTTTTCCTTCCCCCCTCCCACCTGCAAATTTTTATATTTGAAGTTACTGTTCACTTTGTTCGATTATTATGAAAATTGACAGGCAGACTCATTAGGCCATGACAAACATATTTGGTCTTCATAACTTTCCTTGTAAAACCACTCGTTAGACCATAAAATTCGTCCGGAAAAAAGAGCCGAGAGAAAATTACTATGTAGTAGTAAATCAACAATCATTTTTCCCCTATTTTAAATTTAGAGAGATCCTTCTTTTTTCACTTTGCTGCAGCTGCAAAACTTGTAAACGTGGACAAGTGAGCTGATTTTTACAAGATTTGTTACATGCAAAATTCCCTATTTACAATTGCTAACAACTTTTTAGTGTAACTTCACGAGGGTGACTAGAAAAGAGCCATGAAATCTCCATAGAAGACTCTAGAAAATCTGCGTTTACACTTGAAACGCGTAGTTTTTTTATTGACAGGTAGCGTCAAAAAAAGGCTCCTTGCCTCTTCCCTCCTCCACATTTGAAAATTTCAATTTCATACAACTTATGCCTGTCATTTTGGCTCAATAGGTAAGTTTTGTTATAAAATAGATTCAGAATTGTTTATTTGTTCACCGTGCAAATGTCACTACATTATAAAAATGTTAAAACTGTTTTTGAAAACTGAATACAAAAGGGAGGGATTAGAAATTGCAACTCAGATAGAACTAACTCTTAAAAAGAAACTGGTAGCTGACAATTTTATTTCATTTTTATATAAAAAATCGTAAAGAATCTTCGCTATGATCTTTTTTTTTTGCCAATGAATATCAATTAAATCACACAAAGAACAAAAAAATATATTCGACTATCAATTTCGGGAGAAAAATGTCACGTTGAAGCGCTTCAAATTTTGAGACACCTTTTATGATTGATACTTTTACAGAGAACTGGGTCAAAAGGTAATTTTTTATTAGAAACTAAAAGTCATCCATTTTTTTTCAGGCGTTTTGCTCTTTTGTAACCGCAGAGCGTAACTTTTCTTCTTTTTAGATACTGAATTTGGATTCGAAAAGAAATCAAGTCAAATCGCAAAAAAAAATTTCCTGAATAGATTTTAGAATTCTTTAAGCAAAAAAAAACAATCAACGACCTAAATGTATTAAATCAATTCATTCTTTAATTTTATAAACGAAAATACAGTAATACAAAATTGAAAGATTAGCGAGTATTTTGGGTGGAAAAAACTTAAACACACTCGAAGACAAAGTTCCTGCCCACTTATTGCGCTCTTCGCTTACCCTTGGGCTGCTGTCATTTGTCAGAGTAGTAGGCCGATATTGTTGTCCAAGGAGCTGCAGCTATTGATACAACAACAACAGGTGTGCTAGTTCCAAAATCCATTATTTTTGGCTGCCAATTTGCACTGCTCTCTTCGTAATAATTACGCATGTTATTTTCGTCATTAGGAGGTCCAGGTTGGCATTGGCCATATGCATTCCAACCAAAGGTCCACACATTTCCATCTACATCTAACAGCACTGAATGCCTGGACCCCAAGGCCACTTTCTGGAAATCAACGAAATTTTCCGATTTTACTTCCGCTGGACGCATGCTGATATCCAGCAGCCGAGGCGAGGAAATAACTGACCCTTCCGTCATGGGATCAGCCCCAATTTGCCCATCAGCATTCCAACCCCAAAGATAGACATCTCCAGTTGGAGACAAACAAGCGCTGTGCCAACCACCTGCTGCCACCTAAAGTTAACACTGCTTAACTTCAGGTGAAAAATCACATCTAAAAATTGCACCCTTTCGATTTTGCTTTTCTTTCAATTTTTACTTCAAAAAACGTGAGTTGATTTAGCTCTAGTTGCATCAAAGCACTAGAATGATTTAATCAAGTCATAAGAAAATGTCAAAAAATCTGCACATATAAATCTTCAGTATTCAATTCATCATCGAAATAATATAACATCTAAGCAGTCCCTCCTCTTTTGCGGCACTTTTTGAATTATCAATGAAATTGGTGTTTTTGAGTGACTTGCATCCACTGATGCAAAAGACTTCACCCATGAGGAGTGCAAAGATGACCTTAGTTGATATAGTTTAATGTAAAGTAGCTCTCTTGTCGTTTCTCGCTAAGTTTTTCAGCAAGTCTCTGTATCGTTTTTGTGCCTGTAGATGCTGTGCACCGCTGACGTATGAGAAGATAATCTGTCTAAAGCGACTTTTCTCAAAACCTAGACTTTGAAAGTATTTGGAAAATTTTATGCACTTATGGTAAATTGGTTCTAGGTTGCAATTGAATTTAGCTAAGAGCAGCGCATTTAGCTAATTTGGTGCTTTTTTTTCTGGGGCCATGTTCACAGTGTTATTTTACTTTCGCTAAATTTTTCCTGGAGATTTAATCATTTTCGTTCCTGGCATCCTGTTTTCGTTTTCTTGGTTTCCTCAAAAGTTTTTTTCCTTAGGTCGAAATGCAGTAAGTGGATCGCTGGAATCTAAAAAATCTGATGTTTCTTTAGACAATCCTTAGGCACTGGAACGTTCTGCCGGCAATTTCAAATTGAGGCCGCCCTTAATAAATGACAGAGAAAATATGTCTCTTTGCTGCTGACTGATTCTGCTTTGCCAATTAGTTCAGGTACAAGTTTTTGTTATTTTTTTTAAATCGTTTTTTCAGGCAATTGCTTAAATTTGGAGTTAAATAAGGAGTTGTTCTAGTTGAAAATGAAAATTTTTCTTGCACAACTTTTGTATTGCATGTATTGTTGTCAATGTCGTGGATTTACAACAATGCTGTCGGTTAGATTAGTCCCTTTTGTTACAAATTAGAACAGTTACTAAATAAACGCCACCAACAAAGGTTTCGCTCAGAAAATTTTTGTTCAAATAATTTCTACATCGTTTTGAACATTTATAAAAGTTTCAAACCGAGGTATGATTCGAAATGTTTTGAAGATGAAATCGTTTCGTGTTGCTTTGCTTCACGTCTTCGGCCGCCTGAAAACTTCTTAAGTCGCGTTTGTACGGGCTTGAATATACATTTTGTGGCGATGTCTATGCAAGTTTCATTTCAAGCTCAACGCTAAGCTTTTGCAAACTTATGTTGAACTGCTTAAAAAAACTTTGATGGTTATGTAGCAGTAGTAGTATAGACTTTGGATCCAGCCGAGTTGACTTTTTGAATTGGGTTACAAATTCCGCAATTGCACATGAAAGTCCACCAACATGTATTAGCATCCGAATAGCCTTTGGTAAAGTTTATTCCAGTATATTTTGATAGAGATTTGTTGATTTCGCTTTTGATATTTTGGTGTGCTTTGTGATTATCTTTAAATGATTGCGTGATCTTAGCCAGAAGTTTTTGTCTGCCTTTCTTGTGCGTATTTTGGTAGGACTAATTTTGTCTAGTTATAGTCGCAGTGGTTGTTTCTATTTTTGATCTTATTGGTAGATCAATGTTACAATTTTCTTTTAGAAAAAAAAGTAATAGAAGGAGATCGTGTATTTCAAAAAACATAGAAACATTTAAGATTTCCAGCTTTACCAGTCTAGTCTGGACTTATAATTTAAGCTCCAATCGTTCAAGATCCAGGTGATAGCTTTGCGTTGAACTTTTTCTAGCTCTTTCATTTGTTGTGTTTACAGACCGGTCTTGGGACGCGCAGCTAATCACCTGTAGAATATAGCCCGCATATGCATTCAATTTTGTTTTGATTTCAGACTTGGTAGAGATTTTGCCCTTTAGGAAGTAGTGCGTTTTCCAGGCTTTGTTGCATCGCTTTTCGCAGTTTGAAATCCAAGAATGTAATTGACATTATCACAAGCAAGTCCTTCTGTTCATTCTTCGTATCAATTTTTGACCATTAAGCTTAAACTCCTGTTCATTTTTTTATTTTTTGATTGGTAATATGTAACAATTTCTCTCACCTAAATTCATTTTGTTCTTTGCAGCATTTTTCTATTTTATCGTTGCCGACTTAGAGGTTTTCCAGACCGGTTGCTAAAAATTTATAGTCATCAGCCAAATGGTTCTCACTGTTCTACTTGTTAAGGCAAGTCGTTGATATTGGTAATAAAAAGTAGAGGTCTAACTAGCGATGCTTGGGGTAAACCACTTATGACTTCGTTGGTTTCAGAGCAGATTTCATTTACATTTTGCTTCTGTTTGTCAGATAATTTGAGAGTATTTTCTTCCTGAACTGTATTGATGAGGGACACTGTCGAAGTCTTTTTTGAAATCTAAGCATAAAACGAATACTTCGTTCTCGTTGTCGTCGTAATGTTTGTAAAGTTGGTTAAGAAAAACACGCATTTGAGTTATTACTGATCGCTTTTTTTTAAAAAAAAAACCATATTGCGAGTAGTGCATAGTGTTTATAACAAATTCGTAAGTTTGTCGATTATTGCTGTTTCCAGCAATTTTGAGGTGTTGCAGAGTTAGCTGATTGGTATGTATTGCTCTATGTCAACATCTTTAAATCTTGGGCATTTTCTCAGGATAGGATTGCCTATGTTATCGGCAGCGCATGCCTTGTTCGTACCTAGTTTTTCGAGGAATTGTTCTAATTCTGTCTTGGAATTAAAAAGTTCTGAAATCTTACTCTTTATTCTATTTGTATTACTTAAGATTACCTACCACAATATAAGTTGTGTTAACTTACACGTTTCTCGCTTCAGACATTGAAAATGGCTGCACGAAAAACCGCGACCGACGGTAATGTAGAAGCTCCTGACGCCAGGAGAGTCGTCATTGAAAATGGAGCCGGAGCCCCAGCCCCTGCGAGACCGCAACCAGCGAATAACTTGCCACCGCCGCATAACATCCAGAACCAAAAACGGGATGTTATAACTCCACAAACCAGCACTGGAGTAATAGAAGGAGTAGCTAAGACTGTAATCGGACCTAATCCCCGTGGATCGATATCCTATATCATTATCCCGAGAAATTCGTTTTACAATTTCTTTAATACTCTATATAACTCTCTTACGAACACAGCGTTCGAAATGGCAGGCTACGAGCCTGAAAATATGATTACCATAGATGAGTTTAGACAAGTTTGCACTTATTTGTTGAAGGCATGCCTTGACTGCGTCTTCTCGTCCATTTCTGGACAAAGACCTGCTCAACGCATCGCCCTCCGGAAACCGTTCGAAGTCCCGACCAGCCTTGGAAAAGTCTTGAACGCTATCGGAGCGTTCCATTGCGGAACGTTAGATATTACTATCTGCCCAAACGCATGGCCGGCAGAAGTAAAGGAAGCTCATCGTATAAATACCCTCGACTTGGACCACATGGCGTCATTCGCCAATCTAGTTAGATTTGGTAACAGACCGTTCTGGAACACGACAACCGTGAGTGGTATTGACACGGGCACTGCCTATTGGGCCCTCTCCCACACGAACAGCCATCAAGGTCAATGACACAGCAGTTCTGGCGACAGGATCCGTGACAGTAATAGCCGCGTTTAGGGATTTCACGCCTTATGACGCTGTTCTGACTGCAATATTCAAGCGAAATTTTAACGGACAGATTCCGTTGCTTGGAGCGAACGTCGAAATTATGCCTTGGACCTCAGATGCAATCAATAACTTACAAGAAATCAGAAGAAGGTTTTGCGTCGACGCGTAACTCGATGATTAAGATCTTAACTGGTTATGATGTAACAGTTTATGATTTGTACTATGTTTTTGTTGGCGGTTTTATATAGCTTTGTAAAGATATATAATTACTGTTGTACCAAACATACTTTAAAGGAAATAAAAACTTCTGAAATCTTACTTTTTATTCTATTTGCATTACTTAAGATTATCTACCACAATATAAGTTGTGTTCATTTACACGCTTCTCGTTTCAGACATTGAAAATGGCTGCACGAAAAACCGCGACCGACGGTAATGTAGAAGCTCCTGACGCCAGGAGAGTCATTGAAAATGGAGCCGGAGCCCCAGCCCCTGCGAGACCGCAACCAGCGAATAACTTGCCACCGCCGCATAACACCCAGAACCAAAAACGGGATGTTATAACTCCACAAACCAGCACTGGAGTAATAGAAGGAGTAGCTAAGACTGTAATCGGACCTTATCCCCGTGGATCGATATCCTATATCATTATCCCGAGAAATTCGTTTTACAATTTCTTTAATACTCTATATAACTCTCTTACGAACACAGCGTTCAAAATGGCAGGCTACGAACCTGAAAATATGATTACCATAGATGAGTTTAGACAAGTTTGCACTTATTTGTTGAAGGCATGCCTTGACTGCGTCTTCTCGTCCATTTCTGGACAAAGACCTGCTCAACGCATCGCCCTCCGGAAACCGTTCGAAGTCCCGACCAGCCTTGGAAACGTCTTGAACGCTATCGGAGCGTTCCATTGCGGAACGTTAGATATTACTATCTGCCCACACGCATGGCCGGCAGAAGTAAAGGAAGCTCATCGTATAAATACCCTCGACTTGGACCACATGGCGTCATTCGCCAATCTAGTTAGATTTGGTAACAGACCGTTCTGGAACACGACAACCGTGAGTGGTATTGACACGGGCACTGCCTATTGGGCCCTCTCCCACACGAACAGCCATCAAGGTCAATGACACAGCAGTTCTGGCGACAGGATCCGTGACAGTAATAGCCGTGTTTAGGGATTTCACGCCTTATGACGCTGTTCTGACTGCAATATTCAAGCGAAATTTTAACGGACAGATTCCGTTGCTTGGAGCGAACGTCGAAATTATGCCTTGGACCTC